CTGCCTTGCCTATTGACGCTGGCCGCACTAGTCGCCGTGTTCCTTGTGACGTCCTCCTCCTGTCCCCGGCACGCACACTATGGCACTTCGTCCTTCCTCTGTTCCACAGCATGTTCCCCTGCCATCTCCTCCTGCGTCCTCTCTTCCGCAAGTTCCGGACCCTGAGTCTGACCTGGTTCATGGTGCTAGTCCTACTAAAACGCGTCTCTTAGCCACTGCTGCCACTGACCCTTGTTTGAGTCTGCTGTTGCGTCTGCCTTAGTCGCTGAGCTTATTGACTTTGCTGCTGCTTGTCGTCTCGACTACGCCGCTAGTCTTGTTGCTGAGTCTGGGTTTGTCTATCCTCCGTCCGTCGGGGGTGAGTGTGCCTTTGGCACGGACGTCCTTGAGGACAGGCAGGAGGACTTTGAGTGTCTGCAGACGCTACACCTCATCTCGTGGCCATGCTGCTTGCCCCTGAGGGAGACCCAAATGCACCAGACATCCCAACCCCGCGTTCTTACGCTGAGGAAATCGCGGGTGAGCACTCCTCTCAGTGGCAGACATCCATTGACGCAAAGATGGCATTATGGAAGTCCACATGCACCTACGTTGACGCACTTTCCCCTCCTGGGGCGAACGTAGTTGATGGCATGTGGATTTTCAGGGTGAAGCGGCCGCCGGGTTCTCCACCTGTCTTCAAGGCTCGTTACGTTGCACGAGGCTTCAGTCAGCGAGAGGGAGTTGACTTTTTCCAGACCTTGTCCCCTACCCCGAAGATGACCACTCTTCGGATGCTGCTGCACATCGCCGCTCAGCGTGACTACAAGCTTCACTCTCTTGACTTCAGCACAGCTTTCCTACAAGGCAGCCTGCATGAGGAGATCTGGCTGCGCCGTCCACCTGGCTTCATTGGGTCGTTTCCTGCAGGTACCCAGTGGAGCCTCCGACGGCCAGTCTACGGTCTCCGCCAGGCGCCTCGTGAGTGGGACGACACACTGAGGACGACACTTGCGGCCCTTGGGTTTGCTCCTTCGACTGCAGACCCGTCGCTGTGTCTGCGCACCGACACTTCGCTGCCGCCGTTCTACATCCTCATATACAACAACGACTTGGTTTTTGCCACTGGTGACACTGAGGCACTCGCCCTTGTGAAGTCGGAGCTGCAGAAGAGACACACGTGCACAGTCTTGGGTGAGCTGCGCAGCTATCTTGGCTTGCAGATCACCCAGGACAGAGCACGACGCACCATCACCCTGACTCACTCACACATGGTGCAGCAGGTCGTTCAGTGCTTCGGCTTCACTTGCTCCTCGCCACAGTCCACTCCTCTGGCTACAGGTCACTCGCTCTCAGCTCCACCTTCGGACGAGTCCGTAGAGCCGAGTGGTCCTTACCCAGAACTAGTGGGCTGCCTCATGTACCTGATGATCTGCACTCGTCGTGACCTTGCGTACCCTCTTGGCCTTCTGGCACACTACGTGGCTTCTAGTAGGCACCGAAAGTTGTTGTGGGATGCTACAAAGAGGGTACTGCGTTACTTATGCAGTACATCGGCCATGGGGCTCGTGCTTGAAGGGCAGGGTCCAGTTGTCCTCACTGGACACTCAGACGCTTCGTGGGTTGACGACCTGACTACGCAGCGGTCGCCTCAGGGTTACTCGTTCAGCCTTGGCTCCGGCTCTGTTTCTTGGCGGTCTACCCGCTCGTCTTCTGTTCTCAGCTCCAGTTGTGAGGCTGAGATCTACGCGACAGCCATGGCTGCACAGGAGTTACGCTGGCTCACCTACACGTTGACCGACTTGGGAGAGCGGCCTCGTTCTCCTCCAGTTATTTACGTAGACAACAAGGCTGCAATCGCCTTGTGTCAGGAGCACAGAATGAAGCACATCGCTCTGCGTTACTTCCTTGCTCGAGAGCTGTAGCAGCATGGTCAGCTTCGCCTTGCTTACGTGGCCACTCGGGCCAACATTGCTGATATATTCACCAAGGCACTTCAGCCTTGTGATCATCAGCGCTTTTGTACTGTGTTGGGCCTTGTGCCTGTTTTGCTAAACTTGCTCACTGCTTGACTTTGTTTGTACTGTGACCTATATATATACCTGCATGATTACACTTGCTAGGTAGTGATCATTGTACTGTTTGCTGTCTTTTATGTAACTCTGCATGTGGACCAGGGCTAATTTTTGGTTTTAAGCAACCCTTATCATCAGTCCTGCACCTTTGCAAAACCCTGAATATCAGTGTGACCCCTTGGGAAAATTCTTTTCCATCAGGGTTTTCCATAGTTTTATGAAATTTACCCTTAGGCCACAGTGTTACAGCTTTCAGAATCCTGATGAAGTGTTTCTACTGAACTTATGAACAAAAGTGTTGACTACAGGACTCGATTCCGGGTTTTCATCCTTCTGCAGACCAGTCCACCGACCGGGCCACTCCAACGTGACTCGTTATATAGCATGCTCAATTACATCATATTCCTATTTACCGAGACAAAAGTGCAAGGGTGGACTTGTGGGGAGGGGGGAGGGGTGGGGGGGGGGGAGGGGAGGGGGAGGATATCAGGGCCTAAAATATCAGGGTAAAACACCCTGATTACCTTGGGGGCCGGCCGCTTTTTCAGGATTACCCTGCTGAAATCAAGATTGCGAAATAGTTACGCTTCTCTTAAAAGAGAATGTTTTATTTTACCCTGCTAGGTTTTTAGCTTACCCTGGCGGAATCAGGGTTTGGTGTACACTACCTTGTTACCGAATCTTTTCTAACGCGAATCAGACCATAGTCCGCGTGGTGACAAAACGTACAACACCTCCACAAACACCCGTTGTCGCTCGTGCCCACGCGCATGGAAACTTGCATCGTAGTTGGCAGCACGCCAAGAATCCTCATTGGTTGTTTCTGCCGCAGGACTGCCAACAATTATTGATCCTCGTCACTTATCGCCACGCCCACCGCCATCACAGCAGAATTGGTTGTCAAGGACAGCTTCAAGCTGTCCTTAACAACAACTTGCAGCCTCAATGCTGCCTTGCTGGCCATAACAGAGCCCGCCCCGTGGAAGAAACGGTCAGTTGCGTGTGTTGACTTTATGGACTATGAATGTGCTACTTGTGTATATCATTAAAAATAAGTTAACTCACAAAATATATACAAAAACAAGCTCAGCCTAAAACTACCCTGCTCAAATCAGGCTAGTGGTACATTTACCCTGCTGAAAACAAGGTATGACGTTTTTTACCCTAGGGGTCTGGTTAAGGAGGGGCTGGTACCTTGATTCGTAAGGGTAGGCCTAAACCAATTTTGGGCCCTGGAGGATATGGTACTCGCTTCAGGGTAAAACTCGTTTTCAAGATCGGTAACCCTGAGTCATCAGTGTACCTTAAATGTAAACCTTGGCGTATCAGGGAAATCCTAGCTCTCGGAAAAATTACCTTAGGCCATCAGTGTGACTACCAAAAACCACCTTGAGAATCAGGGTATCAGGGTGATTTACACTGATAAAATTAGCCCTGATGTGGACCGGCCCTGTGGCCATTTGCTTGTACTCAGAGTGTGTGGTGACTTTGTGATCCACCCTGAGCTTGCTTTGCTTTTCTTGACAAGTCTTGTGACCCCTTGTTCTCCCCCGATTTGCCTATGGGGGTTTGTCAAACTATAATGCTACTTGTGTTGTGTGGGTTGTAGTGGGGTAACATTTATGGGGTACAACCCAATAAGGGCTATACTTGTACTTAGTTTGATGTCAATGCAATCATTCCTGCTCGTTAATTTCTGACAAGTACTAGTAACAGCTACTCACTTGACTACTCATATAGCCCATTTTTATAGAACGGTAAGGCTCTGCGTTGCGTGAATTTGTATGTGCATGGGTTGTAAGATCCTTTGATAAATAACGGAGTGTACAACCACACAAATGAACGTTTTAAAAACCAAACCAGCACAATTGTTGTGTTACACGGGTGCGCTTCTACACCCCTGATGATTCAGTATTGTATAACTTTTTGTCAGAGTACGTAAACCTCTACAAACATTCGTCAAGCCAGGCTTCCCTGCAGCAGATGCAACGCGTTGAAAGAAAGGACTCTCTCTACTCTAGGAGAGAATGTTTTTAAGGCGCCTCAGAAACGGATTCTCTACACTATGAGAGAAATCTCATTGAGAGGAAGGGAAAAGGCATCTCATTACATGGTAGGGAGCAGGGGTGTCACTGAGAGGAGGGCAGATTAGGCCTACGGTATCACTGACACGGTAGAATGCAGAAACCATCCAAGTTGAAGCATGTGCAGTGCAGGTGACACCGCAGTGAGTGCAGTCATCCATATCATTCTACTGAGTGCACCAAACTGAGCCAGAAATATTGACTGGCCAGCCCCTGGTTAGTGATAACAAGGGGAGAACGAAACGGATAAGATGGGTCACAAATGCTGCCTTTGATGTTTGATGCAGAAAGGGAAGCGGGAAAGCTGTGCAGGGCCGAAGGCGGGTGCGGGTGGAAAGAGAACAACGGCTCACTACTATGTGTGCGACAAAAGGGCATTCTGCAACGAATCAAATACTTACATTAGATATTGTGCATAAAAGGGTTCGGTGATCGTGAATTCAGGGGGCGGCTTGTCAACACCCGTGCCTTGACAGTTTTTTGCTGCGTATTGTTTACACTTGGAGCATTTTGGAGCATCGTCAATGTTTTCAACGGTATACACTGCCCAGACAGTGCAGGCGGGTATGAGGTACAGGCGTTAAGATTGGCCCGGAAGGTGTAAGGCCGAGACATGCTGTCCTTGGCGGTTCGATTCACAATGAGTGTTGTGTTGTCGGAACAGACGGTGGGAGGTGCATCTGCCAAGGAGTGGGAGGAGTGGGAGAGGGAATGGGAGCATTCATAAGTAAGTTCGTACATTGATAAACACACACAATGACACATTGGGGTTTTGAGACGTGTCAGAATGTTAAGGCCTCGCAAACACATTCAGACATAAGAACATGCATTCATGCACGCAATGTTGGATTCGCTATGCTGGTTAAGCCAACTTGACAGAGAGAGAAAGGTGAAGGACAGAGTGGGGTGGGTGGGGAGAGTGGGGAGTGGGGAGAGGGGGGAGTGGGGAAGGGGAGAGTGGGGAAGGGGAGAGTGGGAAAGGGGAGAGGGGGAGTGGGAGAGTGGGAGTGGGGAGAGTGGGAGTGGGGAGAGTGGGAGTGGGGAGAGTGGGAGTGGGGAGAGTGGGAGACGGGAGAGTGGGAGTGGGGAGAGTGGGAGTGGGGAGAGTGGGAGACGGGAGAGTGGGAGTGGGGAGAGTGGGAGTGGGGAGAGTGGGAGATGGGAGAGTGGAAGACGGGAGAGTGGAAGACGGGAGAGTGGGAGTGGGGAGAGTGGGAGACGGGAGAGTGGGAGACGGAAGAGTGGGAGACGGAAGAGTGGGAGACGGAAGAGTGGGAGACGGAAAAGTGGGAGACGGAAGAGTGGGAGACGGAAGAGTGGGAGACGGAAGAGTGGGAGACGGAAGAGTGGGGAGAGAGGCGATGGTGGGGAGAAAGGCGATGGTGGGGAGAGGGGATAGTGGGGTAGTGGGGCAATACACGAATGGGAGTGTGGAGAGGAGACAGCAGGGCGAGCGAGAAGAGAGTGGGGCGAGTGAGGAGAGAGAGAGTGGAGTCTCACCCTTGACACAGCCGGTAGCCGTCAGGCCATAGCCTTTAGGGCACGCGCAGTAAGGCACCGGCAACACGCCAGAGCCAGGGTTTTGCACGGTCTTGCAGGTGGCTCCAGGGGGGCAGGTGCCACAGAGTGAGTCTGAGGAGTGGGGATGGGTGTAGTGCGGTATGATTTCTGAGGCACCTTCAAACAGCAGTAAGGCACCGGTAACACGCCAGGTCCAGGGTTTTGCACCATCTTGCAGGTGGCTCCAGGGGGGCAGGCGCCACATAGTGAGTCTGAGGGGTGGGGTGGGGATGGGTGCAGTGCGCTATGATTTCTGCGACGCCTCAAATAGCAGTAAGGCACCTCCAACCCACTGTTGTCAGCTGCAGGCATGGTCTTGCATGGTCTTGTCAGTCTGAGGGGTGGGGATGGTTGCAGTGCGACATGTGAGTGCAATTTCTGGTGGGGGTTTAATATACCATGTACGAGTCAATGGCTTCGAGGTAGAAGTGGGAGAGCAGGAAATTCATACTCACCCCTCTAACAAGTATATCACTCGTTTAACTCATTACAGAGCAGGAAAGAACTCACCTCATATGCAGGCAGAACAGGAGAAGACGTTACAATGGCAGAGCGGGAAAGAACTCACATTTACCCCACTAGCAGAAACGTGTTCCGTTCGCATCCGCCTCACATTTGCCATCAGGCTCACAACACTGAATTGAGGTGGGAATGCAAAAGCCAGAACCCCATCCTCACACTACTGGCAGGAATCCCATGCTCACCCCACCCCCACAGGCAGAAAGGCCATGCTCACCCCACAGGCAGAAAGGCCATGCTCACCCCACAGGCAGAAAGGCCATGCTCACCCCACAAGCAGAAAGGCCATGCTCCCCCCACAGGCAGAAAGGCCATGCTCACCCCACAGGCAGAAAGGCGATGCTCACCCCACAGGCAGAAAGGCCATGCTCACCCCACAGGCAGAAAGGCCATGCTCACCCCACAGGCAGAAAAGCCATGCTCACCCCACAGGCAGAAAGGACATGCTCACCCCACAGGCAAAAAGGCCATGCTCACCCCACAGGCAGAAAGGCCGTGCTCACCCCACAGGCAGAAAGGCCATGCTCACCCCACAGGCAGAAAGGCCGTGCTCACCCCACAGGCAGAAAGGCCATGCTCACCCCATAGGCAGAAAGGCCATGCTCACCCCACAGGCAGAAAGGCCATGCTCACCCCACAGGCAGAAAGGCCATGCTCACTCACCCCACTTGCAATAGCGCGTTCCGTTCGAATCCACCTCGCATTTGCCACCCGGCTCACAGCCCAAAGCGGCACAGGCAGGATCTGCAGCAGCAGAGGCGAAGAAAAGGGGGCGGCAAACGAAGGTATGAATGCTTATGGACGACTTAAGGTATGAATGCTTATGGACGTCTTAAGGTATGAATGCTTATGGACGTCTTAAGGTATGGATAAGCCTGTAAATACGAATACAAATACGAATACGAATAGTTTATTCGAATATTTGTTGAATAGTACGTGAATTCTTATTTGGCCGAATACAGACCCACGTATGATACGAATACGATTAGAATAGTCTGAATCCCTGTCGAATAAGATTGATCTGCAAATGTTTCTACACTTGTTAGGTTGTACACAGAAAAACATCTTAATTGGTATCATGTACCATGAGGTTATGGAGTAATTGTGTCTTCCGCTTTCTAAACTGCTGTGTAAACATGAGATGAGGGCATGTGTTATAATATTTAGTATATTTGGGTGTACCTATTGTTTATAATTATTGATTTCTGGTTATTCAGCCCTTTTGAAGCTGTACCTCTTTTGATATTCCATACTTACTCTGTGAGTGTACGACGAATCTGGACTTTAACGGGACTGTAAAATGGTTTCTATCGACTCTCGCCCCAGCCCACCTCGTATCGCCCCGTACGCAGTGTACATCTAAATTCTCCACTTCCCCCAGCGAATCTGCTTCTCCCGCCCCTTTCCCCCGCGTACCTGCCTCTCCGCAGGTCCTCCACCTCTCTCACTCGCAAGCACTTGCGTCTCTTGCTTGCCCCCTGCATTTTTTGCTTCTCCCTCCCAATCATGAACCAAGTTATAGATATGAGAAATGTACATTTGCTAAAAAACAAGCCATGAACCTTGCTACAAATCTGAGAAATGTACATAGCCTAAATAACCAAAAATGCGAAAAAAGTATCACAGTATTCCTTTTTGCCTTATGGTGATTGTTAGGCTTATAACTAATTGTTTTTCCATTCCATCACTTCAAAACCGAAATTAATTATCTACACACGTTTATTAGCCCTCATGTAATAGGGAATCTAATGACAATACGACATACAAGGCATTCCATGTGGTTACTAACAACCATAGGTTGCATGCGACTGCATGTCGTAGTAACGAATCCGTTTGACCACCTTGATACATATGTTATGTCAACTGGGTCAACTGAAGTAGCGAAGAGCAATATGCTTTGTTCTGTGCTCCAGTCTGTGCTCCCGACACAAGGCCAGCATGGCCTTGTTGTCTACGTACAGAACTGGAGGAGAACGAGGCGGCTCTCCTAGGTAAGTCAGCAGGTAGGTGAGCCAGCGTAGCTCCTGTGCAGCCATGGCCCCCGCGTAGATCTCAGCCTCACAGCTGGAGGTGAGAACAGAAGACGAGCGGGTAGACCGCCACGAAACAGAGCCAGAGCCAAGGCTGAAGGTGTAACCCTGTGACGACCGCTGTGTCGGCTGGTCGTCAGCCCAAGAAGCGTCTGCGTGACCTATGAGGACCACTTGACGTCGCCCTCCAAGCACTAGCCCCATGCCCGACGTACTGCACACGTAGCGCAACACCCTCTTCGCTGCAAACATGTTCTCTGGTCGGTGTCTCCCACGAGCAACATAGGGTGCCAAGATGCTAAGAGGGTATGCAAGGTCAGGTGGTGTGCAGGTCATCAGGTACATGAGGCAGCCAACAAGCTTTGGGTACGGGCCACTCGGCTCTACGGACTCATCCGAAGGCAGAGCTGAGAGCGAGTGGCGAGTAGACAGAGGAGTGGCCTGAGGCAAAGAGTACGTGAAGCTGAAGCGCTGAAGGACCTGCTGCACCATGTGTGACTGAGTCAGGGTAATGGTGCGCTGTGCTCTGTCCTGGGTGATCTGCAAGCCAAGGTAGCTGCGCAGTTCACCCAGGTCTGTGCACGTGTGTCTCTTCTGCAGCTCGGACCTCACGTGGGCGAGTCGAGCAGTGTCAGGAGTGGTAAAGACCAAGTCGTCGACGTACACGAGGATGTAGAACGGCGGCAAAGAGGTGTCGGTGCGCAGAAACAACGACGGGTCAGCTGTAGAAGGAGCAAACCCAACAGCCACAAGTGTAGTCCTCAGTGTGTCGTGCCACTCACGGGGCGCCTGGCGGAGACTGTAGACTGGCCGCCGGTGGCTCCACTGGGTACCAGGAGGAAACGACCCAGTGAAGCCAGGTGGGCGGCGCAGCCAGATCTCCTCGGTCAGGCTGCCCTACAGGAAAGCCGTGCTGAAGTCAAGAGAGTGAAGCTCATAGTCGTGCTGAGCAGCTATGTGCAGCAGCACCCGAAGAGTGGTCATCTTTGGGGTGGGAGAGAAGGTCTGAAAGTAGTCACCTCCCTGCCGCTGACTGAAGCCACGAGCCACGTAACGCGCCTTGAAGACAGGCGGAGAGCCCGGCGGCCGCTTCACCCTTAAGATCCACATGCCACTGACGATGTTCGCCCCAGGTGGGGGAACCTCGTCAACGTAGGTGCTTGTGGACTTCCAGGAAGCCATCTCTGCGTCCATGGCCGACTGCCACTGAGAGGAGTAGGGACCCTTGATCGCCTTAGCGTACGATCGAGGAGTCGGGATGTCTGGTGCATCCGGGTCTCCCTCAGGGGCAATCAGCATGGACACGAGATGGGGCAAAGCAGCAGCAAAGCACTAGAACTCCTCCTGCCTGTCCTCAAGGACGTCCGTGCTAAGAGCACACTCACCCCCGACGGACAGAGGACAAATAGACTCAGATCAGCAACGAGACAAGCAGCGTAGTCTAGACGACAGCGAGCAGCGAAGTCAACAAGCTCAGCAACTAGGGCAGACGCAGCAGTGGACTCAAAGGAAGGGTGAGTCACAACCGTAGCCAGGAGACGCGTGACAGAAGGACTAGCAGCACGAAGAGAGTCAGACTCCGGGTCAGCAAGAGTAGGAAGAGAGGACTCTGGAGGAGACGGCAACGGGACACGCAGAGGAGCAGTGGAAGGACGCAGCGCCATCTGGTGTGTGCCGGGGACCGCAGGAGGACGCGGACGCGCAGTACGACCACTAGTGCGAGCAGCACGAACAGGCGACGCAGGACGAGACGCAGGCTCACGTCGCTCAGCAAGACCTCCAGTAGGACCAGTGTAGGGAGAAGGAGCACGTAGAGGGGAGGCGGGCTGTAACTGTGACTGCGACTGGACAGGCAGTGGACACTCTAAGGGAGGAACACGACCGGTAGAGGGCGGGAGACCAAGAACCTGCTCCAGGAGCGGAACGAAGTACGGCCTCGGCCGCGCAGCGCCTCCAGAACCAGCAAGGACAGCACCAGTACCCCCAGCGGCAGCACCAGCGCCAGCAGCACCTCTAGCTCCAATAGCGCCAACTCCAGCACCCACAGAAGCACTAGCGCCAGCAGCATCGCCAGCGCCAACACCCCCAGCAGCTCCAGCTCCAGCAGCTCCAACTCCACCAGCACCAGCTCTAGTAGGACCGTCAGCTCCAGCAGCCTCAGCAGCACCCCCAGACGCACCCGCGCCAGTCGAAACACCAGCGCCGACACCCCCAGCAGCTCCAGGACCACCAGTACGAGCACCTTCGGGACCAGCAGCGACAGTAGTACCTCCAGCTCCAGCAGCACGTCTCCAGCGGCGGGCAAACCACTCGCGCAGCTCTTGTGGAGAGAGTGGCTCCCGCCTCAACGGAGCACCGCCGGCAGCCACACGAGCAGATCCAGCGCCCCCAAGCTCCGCACCCCCAGGCTCCGCACCCCCAGACCCAGCACCCTTAGGCTCAGCACCCCCAGACTCAGCACCCCCAGTCTCAGCACCCCCAGACTCAGCACCTCCAGACCCGGCACCCGTAGGCTCAGCACCTCTAGCAGCACCAGAGTCAACAGCTACCTCGATAGGCTCGACTGCGTCTACCTAGGACACACCTCACGGGGCAGGACCCTGAGGGGGGAGGGGGTCTACCGGGGGAGGACCTGGCGCAAGGAAGAACGGGGGCGGGGGGAGGGGCGCAGTGCGGTAGGGGAAGAGATTGTAGTAAGGCACCGACTCGTCAATGGTGACGTCCTGGGAGGACAGAACACGCCGCGAGGTGGGGTGGTAAAACTGCCACCCAGGTGCGTCAGGGGGGAAGCCGAGGAAGACACAGGGAACAGCACGAGGGGACAGCTTGTTTGCAGACAAGTCGCGGACAAACGCCCGAGATCCCCAGACCCGAAACGCAGACGCATCGCCTACCTTCCCCGTCCACCGCAAGGCGGGGGAGGTCTCTGGCAAGGAGACCCGGGGCTGAAGGTTGAGCTGATGCGCGGCGTACTAAACCGCAAACGGCCACAGAAAATGGGGGACAACCACATGCATCATGGACGTACGAGCGACGTCCATGACCATGCCAATGCAGCGCTCAGCAATCCCATTTTGCTGTGGAGAGTCCGGAAGCGTGAAGGTCTGGCGGATGCCCTGTGCACGACAGAAGGCTCCCAGACGGGCAGAGGAAAACTCCCCACCCCTGTCCGAGTGCAGACGCAGAACAGGAAAGTCCGAGCCGAAACTCTCCCTGAGCTGGAGACGAGCTGCGCGGATCCAGTCGATCAGCACCTCAGTGACGTCACCCTTGCTGCGCAAGGGGAAGACTGTGGTGTAACGCGAGTAGTCGTCAACCAGCAGCAGGAAGTACCGCTCGTGCCCCTGCCCACGGACGCGGGCGGGGCCCCACACGTCCATGTGGAGGGTCTGTAGCGGAGCCTCTGTCGGAGGAAACTCAGAGGAATGAGCGGCGGCGCGCTGTCGCCCCTCAACGCAGGGGACGCAGGTAGGGCCAGGCCCCAGAGGTAGGGGAGGGAGAGACCGAGGGAGACCAGAGACAAGGACACGTGAGGCCATGCCTCGGAGACGAGGCAGGGAGGGGTGACCAAGGCGGTGGTGCCAGAGGAGATTCTGGTGGGACAGGAGACGACACGAGCATGGGAGCAGACTCAGGACTAGACCTGGACGCTGCAGCAAACACCTGACTTGACGCAGCTACCAGGCCAGACTCAGCAGCCGGAGGAGACTCAGGACCCCCAGAGGGGTCCGCCAGGGAGACTGCAACCGGCTGACTGAGCGGCGTAAGAGTGGTGCGGTCTCGAAAGAAGGAGCGGGACGCACCCGAGTCAAGGGTGAAGGTGTGTAAGGCCTGAGCCGACGTAGTACCTGAGAGAGCAGACTCACCAGCACCTAGGGCAGCAGACGCACTAGCACCTGGGCTAGCAGACGCACTAGCACCTAGAGCAGCAGCCTCACCAGCACCTAGAGCAGTGGCCTCAATGCCCGGATCAGGCGGTACACACAGGTAACAGTCACCCTCAACACTAGTAGTCACAGAATACATGGCAGCAAGGATAGCATCACAGTCAAGATCAAAGATGGCAATCCCCGACCTAGACAGATCTCCCCAGCGAGGGATCTCTGACGTCTCAAGGAATTGGCAACGCCACGCATCCGTCAGGCGACCGATGCAGCGCTGGGTGGAGTGCGGACCCCCGCACTGCTCACCAGTGCAGTCGCCGGTACGGAGAACATAAGAGCAGGGACCAAAACCCCCACCGGGCTGGCGTGCAGTGTACCACTCATGAAGCTGCTGAGGGGACAGGGTCACACCACTCTGCTGCTGCTGGCGCTGACCACCACCTGAGCCACTCCTCTGCGCAGAGTCGCGATCCGCTCCACCACCGCCGCCGCCGCCGCCTCCGCCGCCTCCTCCACCTCTTCCTCCTCCGCCACCTCCGCCGCCTCCGCTCCCTCCGCCACCACCGCCGCCTCCTCCGGGCCTCCACTGCTGCCGCCGCCGCCGCCACCCCCGCCACCACTTCCACCACCACCCCCACCCCCTCCACTGCCTCCACCACCACCTCCACCGCCCCCGCCAGCCCCTCCTGCGCCCTTGCCCCCCTTGCCCTTGCCGGTGCGGTGTCTCCCGCTAGGGGCAGACGCAGCGGCGACCGACTCGAAACCAACGAGGTCGGCCGCAGCAGCAGAAGCAACAGAGGTCAAGAGGGGGGAGGGAGAACACCCCTCAAAGACGGGGGTGCGAGGGTCACCACGAGAGGCTCCTACAGCGACGATGCTCTTCTCTGTTGCTAGGAGGCCCTTCTCGAGGAGGTCAACGTTGAGAGTGGTGGGGCAAACTGAGAGGAAGTGGTCCCTGACTACGCGAAGAGAGTCAAGGAGCCGGGTGACTATGTAGTAGAGGGTGATGTACATGGGGGGGGGGGGTTCTTGGCGCAGAACTCAGCAGGAAGCGCAGCGCGGTAGCGAGTGTCACTAGTGCGGAGGTGCGTAATGAGGTCAGCGACTGTGGGAAAGGCAGCAAGGTCAGGGAAGAGGTACGGTAGCATGAGGCGGCTCAGTGCAGCAGTGGTAGGGGAAGAGTAGCGTGCAACTACAGCGTCGTATAAGGTCTGAGCACTCTTGTACTGGCTAAAGTGTGCACGCTCAAAGGTCGGTAAGTGGCGACGCACAGCAAGGCGAGCAGAAGCATCGCGTGTGGCCCACTGTGAGCAAACAGTGCTGTCAGCAGTAGCAGGAGAGACACCAGAGGTGAGATCGAATTGAGAGAGTCCGTCTGCCCTATCGCATTCGAGAAACAGCTGGAGGTCATCGTCCTAGACCTCAAAGTCTACGGCACTGCCCTCAGCATCAAAAGTAAGGACACTGGGGGTAGCCATGACTGCAGTGGCCTAGTAGGGAGTGAGCTCACCAGTCCGGGGAAGGAGGGCCGGGGCGCACCAGTGAGAACAGCAGCGGCTCCAGAGTAGGGCGGCTCGGCGGCTCAGCGGCTCGGCGGCAGGGCGGCTCGGCTGCTGGGCGGCTCGGCTGCTGGGCGGCTCGGCTGCTGGGCGGCTCGGCGGCTTGGCGGCTCGGCGGCAGGGCGGCTCGGCTGCTGGGCGGCTCGGTTGCTGGGCGGCCCGGCGGCTCGGCTGCTGGGCGGCTCGGTTGCTCGGCAGGTGGGCGGCTCAGCTGCTCGGCAGGTGAGCGGCTCAGCTGCTGGGCGGCGTGGCTGCTGGGCGGCTCGGCTGCTGGGCTGTTGGGCGGCTCGGCTGCTGGGCTGCTCGGGGGCTCGGTCGCTTGGCGGCTGAGCGGTGACAGGGCCGGTAGAGGCGGCGACGTGGCCGCTAGAGGAGGGCGATAGGGCCGCAGGTGACGGCGACGGGGCCGCAGGTGGCGGCGACGGGGCCGCAGGTGGCGGCGACGGGGCCGCAGGTAGCGGTAGGGTCGCAAGTGGCGGCTGCGTGGCCGCAGGTGGCGGCGACGGGGCCGCAGGTGACGGCGATGGGGCCGCAGGTGGCGGCGACGGGGCCGCAGGTGGCGGCGACGGGGCCGCAGGTAGCGGCGGGGCCGCAGGTGGCGGCTGCGTGGCCGCAGGTGGCGGCGACGGGGCCGCAGATGGCGGCGACGGGGTCGCAGAGGGGCCGCAGAGGGGCCGCAAGGGGCCTAGACGGGGCCGAAGAGGGGCCGCAAGGGGCCTAGACGGGGCCGAAGAGGGGCCGCAAGGGGCCAAAACGGGGCGTCGACGGGGCCGTAAGGGGCCGAAAGGGCACCGCGAGGGGCCGAAATGGGGCCGCGCGAGGGCCGTAAGGGCGGCACGAGGGGCCGTAAGGGGCCGTAAAGGCAGCGCGAGGGGCCGTAAGGGGCCGTAAGGGCGGCGCGAGGGGCCATAGAGGGCGGCGCTAGGGGCCGTAAGGGCAGCGTAAGGGGCCGTGAGAGGGGCCACTAAGGGTGGCGCGAAGGTACGGAGGGCACACAGAGCGCGACTCGGGCAGGAGTGAAGCACGCTCCGGGCAGGAAAAAAAATCGTGGTGGGCCCTAGGTAGCGTTCCCACTTGGAAACCTGCTCGATACCATGATAAGAAACGAAGAATGAATGCATTGAGCAGAATGAGAGGTACAAGTAGTAAACCCTAAAGTGTTGTACCCCATATGAACTGCCCCACTACAGCCTACACAGACTATAGCATATATGCCTGACAGTGAACAACTCTAAGCTAAGTGTGATAATTAGAACGAGAATGATTGACCTATGAAACAGTTGGGTACAAGTACTAACCCTAATTGGGTTGTACCCCTTATGGGCCAACCCACTACAGCCTACACAGATGTATAAGCTATAATGTTCTGACACACCCCCATAGGCAAAGTGGGGGAGAACAAGTGTTCACAAGACGAGTCAAGCGAAGCAAAGCAAGCTCAGGGTGGATCACAAAGTCACCACACAATCCGGGCACAAGAGCAAGGCCACAAGGCCAGTTCACATGCAAGATCATATATATATAAAGGTAAACAAGCAAGTGCAAGTATAGAGAGAGTACAGTACAAACAAGATCAAGAAGTGAGCAAGTGAGGCCAGGTAGGCACAAGACCTAGCAAAGTACAGAAGCGCTGATGATCACAAGGCGGAAGGGCCTTGGTGAAGATATCAGCAGTGTTGGCCTCAGAGGCCACGTAGGTGAGGCGGAGCTGACCACGCTGCTGCAGCTCACGAGCCAGGAAGTAGCGGAGAGCAATGTGCTTCGTTCTGTGCTCCAGTCTGTGCTCCCGACACAAGGCCAGCATGGCCTTGTTGTCTACGTACAGAACTGGAGAAGAACGAGGTGGCTCTCCTAGGTCAGTCAGCAGGTAGGTGAGCCAGCGTAGCTCCTGTGCAGTCATGGCCCCTGCGTAGATCTCAGCCTCACACCTGGAGCTGAGAACAGAGGACGAGCGGGTAGACCGCCACGAAACAGAGTCGGAACCATGGCTAAAGGTGTAACCCTGTGACGACCGCTGCGGAGCCTGGTCGTCAGCCCAAGAAGCGTCAGCGTGACTTGTGAGGACCACTCGACGTCGCCCTCCAAGCACTAGCCCCATGCCCGATGTACTGCACACGTAGCGCAACACCCTCTTCGCTGCAGCCATGTGCTCTGGTCTGTGTCTCCCAGGAGCAACATAGCGTGCGAAGATGCTAAGAGGGTATGCAAGGTCAGGTCGTGTGCAGGTCATCAGGTACATGAGGCAGCCAACAAGCTCTCGGTACGAGCCACTCGGCTCTACGGACTCATCCGAAGGCAGAGCTGAGAGCGAGTGGCGAGTAGACAGAGGAGTGGCCTGAGGCGAGGAGTACGTGAAGCCGAAGCGCTGAAGGACCTGCTGCACCATGTGTGACTGAGTCAGGGTAATGGTGCGCTGTGCTCTGTCCCGGGTGATTCGCAAGCCAAGGTAGCTGCGCAGTTCACCCAGGTCTGTGCACGTGTGTCTCTTCTGCAGCTCAGACTTCACGTGGGCGAATCGAGCAGTGTCAGCAGTGGCAAAGACCAAGTCGTCGACGTACACGAGGATGTAGAACGGCGGCAAAGAGGTGTCGGTGCGCAGAAACAGCGATGGGTGACTGGCGAAGACCGTAGACTGGCCGTCGGAAGCTCCACTGGGTACCAGGAGGAAACGACCCAGTGAAGCCAGGTGGGCGGCGCAGCCTGATCTCCTCGTGCAGGCTGCCCTGCAGGAAAGCTGTGTTGAAGCTCGTAGTCGCGCTGAGCGGCTATGTGCAGCAGCACCCAAAGAGTGGTCATCTTCGGGGTGGGAGAGAAGGTTTGAAAGTAGTCAACTCCCTGCCGCTGACTGAAGCCTCAAGCCACGTAACGCGCCTTGAAGACGAGCGGAGAACCCGGAGGCCGCTTCACCCTAAAAATCCACATGCCAATGACGATGTTCGCCCCAGGTGGGGGAACCTCGTCGACGTAGGTGTCTGTGGACTTCCAGGAAGCCATCTCTGCCTCCATGGCTGACTGCCACTGAGAGGAGTAGGGACCCTCGATCGCCTCAGCGTACGATCGAGGAGTCGGGATGTCTGGTGCATTCGGGTCTCCCTCAGGGGCAATCAGCGTGGACACGAGATGGGGCAAAGCAGCAGCAAAGCACTGGAACTCCTCCTGCCTGTCCTCAAGGACGTCCGTGCTAAGAGCACACTCACCCCCGACGGACGGAGGACAGACAGACGCAGACTCAGCAACAAGACTGGCAGCGTAGTCTAGACGACAGCGAGCAGTGAAGTCGACAAGTTCAGCAACTAGGGCAGACGCAGCAGTGGACTCAAAGGAAGGGTCAGTGACAACAGTAGCAAGGAGACGCGTGACCGAAGGACTAGCAGCATGAAGGGAGTCAGACTCCAGGTCAGTAAGAGTAAGAAGAGAGGACTCTGGAGGAGACGGCAATGGGACACGCAGAGGAGCAGTGGAAGGACGCAGCGCCATCTGGTGTGTGCCGGGGACCGCATGAGGACGCGGACGCGCTGTACGACCACTAGTGCGAGCAGCATGAACAGGCGACGCAGGACGAGACGCACGCGCACGACGCTCAGCAAGACCTCCAGTAGGACTAGTGTAGGGAGAAGGAGCAGGTAGAGGGGAGGCAGGCTGTAACTGTGACTGCCACTGGACAGGCTGTGGACACTCTAAGGAAGGAGCAGGACCAGGAGAGGGCGGGAGACCAAGAACCTGCTTCAGGAGCGGAACGAAGTACGGCCTCGGTCGCTCAGCGCCTCCAGAACCAGCAGGGACGGCACCAGTACCCCAAGCGGCAGCACCAGCGCCAGCAGCACCTCCAGCTCCAACAGCGGCAACTCCAGCACCCTTAGAAGCACCAGCGCCAGCAGCACCGCCAGCGCCAACACCCCCAGCAGCTCCAGCTCCAGCAACACCAACTCCAGTAGGACCGTCAGCTCCAACAGCCTCAGCAGCACCCCCAGACGCACCAGCACTTGTAGAAACACTAGCGCCAACACCCACAGCAGCTCTAGCTCCAGCAGCACTAGTACCGCCAGCAGCTCCAGCAGGACCAACTCCAGTAGCCCCAGCAGCACCCCCAGTCTCAACAGCACGTCTCCAGCGGCGTGCAAACCACTCGCGCAGCTCCTATGGAGAGAGTGGCTCCCGCTTCGACGAAGCACCGCCGGCGGCCACACGAGCAGACCCAGCGCCCCCACGCTCGGCACCCCCAGGCTCCTCACCCCCAGACCTAGCACCCCCAGGCTGAGCACCCCCAGACTCAGCACCCCCAGTCTCAGCACCCCCAGACTCCGCACCCCTAGGCTCAGCACCTCTAGCAACACCAGAGTCAACAGCTACCTCGACAGGCTCGACTGCGTCTACCTGGGACACACCTGACGGGGCACGACCCTGAGGGGGGAGGTGGTCTACGGGGGGAGGACCTGGTGCAAGGAAGAGCGGCGG